TAGAGAGAAATATTTAAAAAAAGAATGTGCCGAAGTTGCGTTTGGAATGTGGTTACGCATCTGTGGCTCTACGCACAGATGCTTATTTTCACTATGGCCGAACCATAAAGAGCGTGAGAGGAGTGAATGAATGCCGAAATTGCTTGGCGAGAAATTCAGATGGCAGTTGCGAGAGTGGAAACGAGAGAAAGAGAGAGACGACACACAAATTGTGCGCGTGTAAATGTTGGTGATTGCTGTGAGAAATATATAACTATTATGAAAATAAAACGAAACGAGCTGCACATAAAATGGCTAGAATTCTAAATGGCCAATGAGTGTTTTTTTCTGCTTCCGACCGACCAAAAACTATACTGTGCATACACATATGTGAACAACAACAAAAAATTGGACTTCATTTAATTTAGTCCATTTCACTTTGGATGCCAGGAAAAATGCACACGTAGTTGAAATTCGGCACGAAGATGAAAAAAAGTGTTCCTTTTTCCCGTTCTTTTTTCGTATCTCTCTCTCTCTCTCTCTCTCTCTCTCTCTCTCTCTCTCTCTCTCTCTCTCTCTCTCTCTCTCTCTCTCTCTCTCTATTCAATTGTAGGTTCCGTACAAGTTCCGTTAATATACGTTGAAAATCGTTTTGTTGGTGATATTTTTGGCTTTTTCCACCCAAAATTCGTGGCTTTTGTGCAGTTAACGAGTGAAACAAGAGTTGAAAACTCCATTTGTGTGCCTGGTGCACGGATCACTTTGGTTTTATTGCAGTTTTTTTCGTTCTTTCTTTCATTTATCTCGACCATTTTATTGAAATTGGTCGTTGGTCTGTGCACCGACAGTAGTTCACTGACAGTGTGTTGCGATTCTGTGTTGTGTGTGCGACTGTGTGTGTCGTTTTATATTTATTCATTTTTTCCTCTTCTCTTTTCTTGTGATTTCGTTGGTGATAAATGAAATGTGTTTGCTGTTGTGTTTGGAGCAACATCGGTCAAACGACTTGAATATCGGGTTTTTAGTACACTCGCTCACTCAAATGTACAAAGAGCGTACGGAACGTTACAAAAGCGGATACTCTTTTTCATTCGCTCTTGCTGTTACGCTCTGTCCTCTGTGTTGCCTTTTAGCTGTGCAAACCATTGCTCTCCTTATCTCGGTGGGTTCGTGTTAAATAAATAAAATATGTGATTGCCATACACTAGTTACACGACTGTTTGTAGCTGAGTTAGAGTGAGAAAAAAGAGAGTACATAGCGGGAGAGTTTTGAGTGTTTTTCCTTCAAATAATGTAATATGTGCGAAGCGATGCTGCTGCTGCTAATGCTGCTGTATAGCTCGGATAAGCGTTGAATATAGCTCAATAAAATCACTGATCCAAGGTTTGATAAGACGTAATATTCGTTCAATAGACGATTCTTTTTTTTTCTTTCTCTATTCATACGATTGTTTGGCTCTCGAGAGATTTTCGTTTCTTGAGTGAGTGTGCCGACGATCATCGGTACTTTCACATTTGGCGTGGTGGCTGCTTGCTGAGGAAAAACTCCTCAAGCTTTCATCGTGTTGGCGGTTTGCAGTTGCATTTGATTGAATGGAATAATATATCCAAAATACGAGATATTGTGTGTTTTTTTTTGGTGCGAGACAGAGAGAAATCGTGTGCTAGGATTAACGACCGACTCGACCGAATGAAAAGCGCAGTAGAGGAAGAAACGAAAGAAAAAAAAATTTCTCCTCTGTTTTCACTCCGCCGATGAACTCGCGTGAACCTTCTAAGTGGCGTGCACACAGTGACCACGAATGCACATCTAGAAACAATAGCTAGTAGGAAAAATTCGAAATAAACCCATACAAATGCAAGCATAGAATCGGAAATGTTTTCATCATATTTTTTCTCTCTTCTTCGTCGTTCGATCGGTCGTTCGGTCGGTTGGTCGGTCTACACACGCTGAATATATTGTATAGAAGTGATATTGATGGTAACACGCGCATTTGGGTTCGATGCTTTGTCATTTAGGTATAGAGAGAGAGAGAGAGAGCAATGAGTCCACGGTTCGTCGACGAATCCGGTCGGTCGGTCTTGCATTGGCATTATTGCGCCACGCATTTCACATATATCTATATTCGAGTCTCATACTGTGATTATATAAATACGCAGTTAAGAATGCGTAATAAAAAATTGTAAACCATGTATTCGTAACGAGAGTGGCAAATGCGAACGTGCAAGAGATAGACAGGCATAGAGTGAGTGCATTTGAACTGAATGCGTGCACTTGCGTTGCTTGAAATGTGGTAGCGGAATAACAAACGATGGAGAAGAAGAAGGAGAAGAAAAGAAGTAGAGAACCAAATCGAATCATATGTAAACTGAGAAGGAGCATACGCATCAGCTACATCATCAACATGGCGAGAGAGTGCGAGCGAGAATACATAACCGGTAAATGGAACACATGAAGCGAGAAGGCAGAGAATGCACACAAAAGCCGATAGGCATACTCTCCCAACAAACACACATCTCACATTTATTCACCGTATGCATGTATGCAGTGAACTGCGGCTGAAACGAAACATTAATACATAATCTCCATTGTATATCCATATCACACGGGAATAAGTGGCCAAAGTAAAGATAGACTTTTTTTTTGAAATTGACTTCGCGTGTCGTAACTGATATCTCTATTCGATACTTTTTTCTCTGTGTGTCTCTCTGAAGAACACTTGAAGATAGCGTTTGGAAATATGGGAAAAATACTGAAATTCAATTGGCTTACATCATCGTTTTTAGCAACATTTTTCCCTTGCTTCTGTCTTTCGTTATGCTAAAGTCAGGGAATGTTGTGTAGAAATGAGAGCAATACCGAAACTCCAGTGAAGCTATGCTGTAATCAGCAAATATCAGTTCGAACAAACAGAAAATCGATTTCGAGTGGGATTTTTACCATGCGCGCTGGATATGACAAAGCCTATGAATAACCCTGAGTTTAATGGCTGATGTCAACTTTATATTAATTCAGATCAAGCAAACACTTTATTCCTCGATTTTTAGCTCGATATTTGCAATTCGATGTTTGTAGAGCAGTGAAATGTACACGTACGTTTCGATTTTGACGTTCATTGACGACCAATGATATGCGTTAAGTTATAATGTAAAGAAGCCCCGAATCAAATGGAAACGAAGAAGAAGAATAAACACCATGAAAGCGTGGTTTAAGAATCGAAGGCACACTCTCTATGTAAATCAGCTGGGTTTGGATGCGTGCCGTGCATTGATGTATTGGTTAACGCCTGTTTGTACACACAGTGCGCTTTTGTTCATGTTCGCGCTGCTACGCGAATACGCCATTAGTGTTTACGCGTATGATGTGTGTTGAAAAAAAAGCAACTAAATGCCTGATAAAAAAAAGCCGAGTCAAAATGATGTCGAGAGAGTATAGTGTCGAGTTGAAGTAAATGCCATGTAAGGAGTTGAAAACCTCACTTAAATTTCGACGCGTGACGATAAAAGCAAACACACTGGAGAGGCCTGTGAGTTGTTGTGTTTCATTTGTGTTGCTTTGTCATGTGGCGTTTTTATTGTATGAACCGTCGTCGACTCCGCCGCCGCCGCCGCTGCTGTCGTCGTCGTTGTCGGCGACTCACTTCAATACACAATTTGATATTGTGAGAGGAGGCAAAACAAAATGGCCGCATTCACCGAATAATAATAAGTGCATGAATTTCCTATTCATAATCACGATCCGAGCCGCTCTCTACTTTGCCGCACTCTCTCTCTATCTCTCATCGTCTCATTTTCAGTTTGGCATCAAAAGAGAAGATAATTTATCCATGCATCATCGAAATCGAAATGCCCACACGAAACACAGCACATCACGGCGAATGTCACTGAATCAAGGAAATCTAATCATTTCCGCAACTCAGAAAATTTCTACACCAATCTCTCTCTCACACACTTTTGAGTTGACTCTTTAATAAAATATTTTTCGACAACCGACAAAAATCTTCAATAATTAGTCATTGTAAAATTGCCGATATGAAGGCAACAGCAATATTGTTGAATTCGTGTGTGCACATTTCTTTTTTAATTTGCGATGGGCCTTGCGAATACACCAAATCAAATTCGAAAATAATTGGCGTAATTCTCATGAGCCGAACTTTTAAAACCTTTAGCCGAACATTAAAGCATGACGATTATTCATTATGCTTCTGTTACATTTACAGAGTAAAACACTCATACACACACCCAAAGCCATGAGCTTTGCACGGAAAACGCCGATTTAATGGTGCTCAAAATCCATTCGCCGTGATCTTTTTTTCTTCTTCGCTTTGCTTTCTGTTTGCATCTCTTTCTCTCATCATTGATCGCGAGCGGTGCGCGCGCGGGACATTGGTAAATAGTATAACGAAAAGAAGAAAAAAAAATTATAAATGTTTTACTTTCGCTTTCGCCCCGTTGAACGAGGCGAGTAATTTATGTGAAATATCTGCAAGAAATTATCGTTAATTACGAAAAGACATCGTCGTCGTCGTTTGTTTTTCCCCGTTGATTTTCGAGAGAGAGAGAGAGAGAAAAAAACAAACAGATTTCGAGCTACGATACAGCGAGAAAATCCTTATGTTTTACATGAGATGGTGATGTAGTCGGTTTTTTTTGCTTTTCGAAAGTATATTGCATGCACACACAAAGCGCAAAACGAATGGCAAAGCGATGATGAGTCAAAAATTTGCAGACGCTTCTCTCTCTCTCTCTCTCTCTCTCCTTTTCGTATATTTCGAAACAATAACAACAAAGTTTTCGTTTTAAACGCGACACACAATAGAAACATTAACGAAAAAAAAACATACACAGAGAAAGAGACAAAACAATATATATGAATTGCCAAAGCGAAGAAAGAGACAGACACACATTTTGCCGAAAAATTTTCGTCAAAAAGTGAAAACAATATATTAACAAATAAATAGAAAAGAAACGGAATGATAAAAAGTGAAACGATTGAGGGAAATATGAACGATTATAATTACTTTTCTCGATGCAGCAAACATATTCGATCTTTGGCCACTTTCAATTTTTTGGCGACGATTTTCTTGAGATTTTCCACCCTTGTATGGCTGTCGACAATGACGGAAAAACTGCCACCGGTCGTTGTGTTAATGTTCAATGTGAGTTGTGATAAATTAATGTCACTGCCACACCCAATATGCTGTTGAATATCTTGTGAATCGCTGCCCATTTTGATATCTTTTCGTTGAGACCAGTCCAGCAATGAAAATAGTTGCAAAATTTGAATTTGGCGAGAGGTGCAGCGGTTATGCACGTGGTCCGCGTGTGTGTCTCTCGCTAGCGTTCCAGGGAAAAATTGAAACTGATCAAAAGTGCAGCGCTGAAACTGACGATCATGAAGGTATAACGATGTGTATTTTCGGGTGTTAAGTTTTTTTTGTTGGTCGTATTTTTTCCAGAATAAAAATCGATCGAGTTTTCTTCTTCGTTCGATTTCGACGTTTTCCAGTCAATTAATTTTCAAGCAACAAACTGCTTTCACGTTGCTCTCATAAGTTTTCGTTTAACTCTTGCTGGTTTCGTGGGATTAATTCGTTCATTTATGGTTGTGAATTTCACAACGCAAGCTTAATTTCGGTTTTGGTTTCGGTTCATTTTTTTTTCTTCTCTTTTCTGTTGTATTTAACTTTTCTCCCGTTGCACACAAACACAATTGCGCTCGCTGAACGTAAACCGAAAAAAATCTCCAATATATGTACAGTCTCTGAGTGTTTCGGGGAAAAACCGAAAGAATACACGCACCGAACCAGTCCTCCTTTTATATTTCGTAACGAATATACACCACCACGAGCGCGCGTACACACACAAACACTTGATATTTTCGTATATTTCACACGTTTCACTCTCACTTGATATTCAATCTAATGGTGCACTATTCGCTCTTTTGGATTTTGTATATATGCATGTGTTTTCTCGATACGTTTCGTTTTCTACCGTTTGTTGTATTTTTTGCGTCTTTATCCCGACTTTTATTAACTTTTATGCACGAATGGGCTTCACCGAGGAGAAGAAGAAGACGAAAAAAAGACCGTGACAAAGAATCAATTTTTTTTCTGTTCCTGATGCGGAAACGCTTGTTCGATTCGTTGTCCACGAATACGAACAACACGAGCCAGATCGAACCGTATGTGATTTGTTGAACGGCGAAAATATACGTTCTATATGCACGTTTTATATATGATGTTGAAACTGAGCCGAGAGGTTTAATATTTCCGTTTTTGACAGGTTCGATTGCTGTTGCTTCTTCTTCAATTCTTGATTTTTTTTTCTTTCACCTGCCTTGATTGTGTTGTCGCGTTTTGATTGCCCAATGTTGGTCAATGGCTAAATTGCATTCGTCGTTTTAGTGAACGTGCCGATTTTGTATAACTTCGCAATGAAGGGTGCTCTTGTGTATGTGTCGCAGTTAGTTTAATATGGCCCCGTGCCTCCAATGAGAGAAACAAATGAAAAATAAAACAATTTTGTCGTCGTTGTTGTTGCGCTGCTGGTCCACGTATCAGAACAAAAGAAGAAACATACTTTTGTGATAACCTTTTTGTGTGTTTTCACAAGTGTTGCTTGTGGTTATGAATTTGCAACTGGTATTAACTATGGCTTCTGCGATTATTCGCATGCACTCTTACGGTAATATTTACGATTGTGTGCGCACAAACTTCGTTTTATTTTTCACTGTAAAACTTTTTTATTCCTGTTTTTTTTTTTAAATATTGTTTGAATGTCAAACACGAGATTTTATGTTTGAATTGTTTTGTTTTTCATTTATGTCGGTTTGCTCTTGCTTTAGTATTTGCTGCGCCACTAAAAATGCTCTCTGAAAATCACGTCAAGGGAACTTTTGGAGTTTACTTCTTAGTCGAGACAATCGTTATATTGAAATTTTGTGGGAATTATGCGTGAAGCAAAATGATTGGTATAGAAATATGGTGGTAAACAGGCAACTCTGAAAAATTCATCAACCACAAACGATTTCGTCTATTGCACTGAAAACTGCAAAATTCAATTTTGTCCCCGCGAAATTCGATGTGTGTGTGACAAAATAAATTGTTTCTCTTTTTTCGTTATATAAGCGACATTTTTTCGCACTCGACCACGTTTTGGCTTTTGCTTGTCGACAACGGTTGATAAGCAAGAACTTAATACACAAAACGCCAAATTTCTCACGCAATTCAAACGCGTTATTTCAACAATGAATTTTCAACAAAAATAAAATTAGAGAAAAAAACGCTCTAATTTATTGCACACGTTCACTTGTATCTTCTTTGTAGATTTTTGTTCTTATTATTTTTTTTCTTCAAGTTTACATTAGCTGATTGTCGCGCGTGTGTTGTTTTCACAAGATTTTTTCTTCTGTTTACTGATTGAATTTTTTTAAATGTTTTTTTTTTCTTCTTCGCTTCTAGCTGTGGCTTTGCTGTGTAAGTTCCTTTTTCCTTGAAAAATTGTAGATTCACACAAGTGGCGCAACAACGTCAATGTTATACCAAAAACACAACTCGACTGTTCGATTTGTACGCGTCTCAGTATATGGTAGCCTCGAAGCGAACGCGTTGTTGGGAAATAGTATACATGCACGCACTCAGTGAATTATTACACATGCATACATACACACACACACAATCGGGCCTCACATATACCATTGGAATAGGAGCGTCACTGGCTGTAACAATGCAATGAGTGAGTACTGTGATTGGAAAGAGTCGGCTGTATGCGATGCGCTTGGCTTTGCCGTTCATAGCAAGTGAATGTGGTGGTATTGCTGCTGCTACTGATGCTGCTGCTGCTGCTGCTACTGATGCTGATGATGGACTGTGCATATGTATTTTTTAGTACACTGTCTCTTGCACACACATCGATCGAAGCAACACTCATTCATGTTTACGCACCACACACACGGAAAAGAGACAACAACATTGTTTACACAAAAAACAGCTGTTATAAAACGCGTTAGTATTCCTTGCTGGGCGATGTGTGTGTTTTATCTCTCGTCACTCTACTACGTTTCTCAATGCATCGGAATGAGTGGATCCAATGGTTCAGTTTTTTCGTGGTAATTATTGTAAAAAAAACGTTGAATTGGTTAGAATTGTACGGATATTTTTTTGAATTTCAACTTAAATCATGAATGGAATCAAACAAAGTCGAATTTGAAATCAATAACCAATGAAGCCGGCTTACTTTTACATCCCTGGTCATTTTTCCCACACACTAGCGCCATCTTTGTGTCAAATGGGAAATTAAAGAGTTGAACGAAACGAAAGGAAAATTTTCAAATTTTGCTTCAATCATTCACTTAATGATTCATCGAATGCATAAGAACGATCTCTTGCTATATAGGTATACTCACGACTATGAGCATCTAAAAATACACTGATGAATGCTAATAAATCTGAGGAAATCATCAGCAATTTGCTAAAATTGACTAGAATGCAGTACATGCGTAATTGTTTCATCAATTAAGACAATCTTTGAAGAAAATAAACATATTAAACTTCAACGCAAATATACACATATCCTGAATTGATGTTGATTGTATCGATTTGAAATGGGCTTGATTCATTGAGTGCTTTTAGTTTGAACTCGGTATATTTCAATCAGTAATATTGAGCCAAAACTTAACAGTACTATTGACCGAAGTAAAGATATTGCTAGACTTTTGAATTTAGGAAAATCATACATGACCATACTAAAGGAATTGGAAAACATTGTTATTAAAGTAGAGGCAGTACTATGGAGTATCAATTTGTTAAAGTACCAGTAATTAGATTCAAGTTCTGATTTATAATCCAATTGGAATCTAAAACAATTTGACAAAAACGATGCGTACTTCTAACAATTTAAACTCTCAAATTTTGACGTATATCCATTGTATGTCGATAAAACTCTCGTCAAAATGTGTGAATTCATGGCCCATTTCCATCTTGTTTACATTTTAGTCATCACGTAGCTGTTCAAAAATAATTTTTGTGTTTCCTCTTAGTTTGTGTGAAGAATCTTGATAAATCCAATTATCAAACGTTTTTTACGTTCTAATTTCGTAAAGTGAATTGCTTGGTTGCTTGTTGCCAGTCGAGAAGGAATCATGCGCAGTTAGTAATTTGAATTGAAGCCGTTTCAACGAGTCCGAATTGACGTGTTTTCGAATTGTTTCGCTTGTGATTGTTGGCCTAGTGAAACCATAGAAACATTAAAAATTCGTCGAAAACCTCGTGCAATCCCATGGAGACTTTCATAATAATCGCTATGCAACTGAAAATCATGTCATCGAATATCCATTGAGGATAAAAGTAATTAGCCTGAATGAATAATTCGATTTCATTAACGAGAACAGAATACATTGAGGTCTTGAAAGAAAATAAACAAACAAACAAAAACACACACATCTTGAAAAACTAGTGACATTGAGTCAAAATTTGGTTTGTTTATTCTCTGTAGTTCAACGGAATATTAAAGTGTGAACGCGTAACGCTCCAGTTTGAAATATTTGAAGTGAAAATCGAAAAATAAATTACCGTTCAGATGCTGTATGCGCTCTCTTCGCTCTTTCCGCTCTCACTGAATCGGTATATATGTTCCAATCTGTATGTGTGTGTATGAGTGAGTGAGCGCTCTCAAAATTCGTTTATTCCGTCAAATCGTGTGCCACCGAAACGTTAACGGCGCGCAAAACATACACTAAGAGAGAAAGAGAGTAACGGAGCGAGTGAGAGAGCGCGCACAAGAGAGGTACCAGCCAAAACAAACGAAAATTTTCGTATTGTCATAGTGAGAGCGGTTTGTGCTGTGTCGTTGCTCATCGCACACCGTTTTGCACTCATCAGCCGAGCATTTCGTGCAGTTGGTAAACGCTACTCCACTGAATAGGAAGAAATGCGCATTGACTATCGAGCGCTATGATATGTGGATTTTTTTTAAGTTAAAAATTACAACATTTCCGTGGTCGTTACAGCAATAAATGAATTGAATTGTGAATTATTAACGAAGGACTTTCGATTTTTGTACCGTGTGCCCATTCATTTATTGGAATCTAGTGTGATAATTGATAGAAACCGATAGAAACTTCCTCTTTCAGTGAGAAAAAAAAGTTATAATTACAAAGTGGTACTTTTGAAGAGGGGTGAGAGAGAGAGAGAGAGAGAGAACGCGCGTTAGTTTTTGGTGTGAAAAAGAGAAAATAGTTGATAATCGGTGTGTTGCATTCTGTTCGTTACATATGCAATATCACTGTATTTATGCTATCATTCAAAACAAATGCTCATGGTTGTCTATTGTAACGCCAAATGCACGGAACAATTCAGTGAACAGAGATAAAAATACATTCTACAAAAGAAAAAATCCCGAACAATACAGGAAAAAAACGCGGATATAAAACGACGCAGAAAAATGACAGATTCACATAAAGGAAATTATTGTTTGGAATGTGATGCAAATAATGGTGATTTAAATGATGCCTACAAATATGCCAACGATACGAAACAGCTACGCGACTCCGTAATCGGTTATGGTAATGAAAATTATTTTTATTGATTTTTTTCGATCGTTCGTTGCTTTAGAATTTTTTTTATGTATGTAGCAATGGTGAGCTCGGTGTGCAAATGAAATCTTTGGAGGCTGAACACATTTATGTAACAGAAAATCATTTTGGAAAACATTAGACCTTGAACTTAGCATAAATCAAAGATGCCTTCCGTTTCTTCAATTAATTCTTGATAACAACTGTCCATAGGAATTAAATTTTATTTTTACTCTTCTTTAATCACTTACCTCCCCCTTTTTCTGTTCTCTCACTGTCGATATGGAAATTTTTTTTAGCTCAAAACGGTTCATCAATCATGGAAAATGAAGTGCATCACAGTGAGAATCGATATATAAATAGCACGGATACCTTAAGGATGCCATCGCTGCATTTGACAGCGGCAGCTACGAAACTTACGTCATTCGATCAGCTCACAAATCCGTTCGTGTTCAAATGTGAGATGGATTTGTTTCGAAAAATTCGGGTAAGCACAACAATAGCATTTGCGTCAGTACTTAGAAATATCGATTGCAGAAAAGTTTCCAGAAGAAAAACGCCTTTCCCTCATTGTTCCGGGGCAATTAAGGCGTTGGCAATGAGCGTGTTAGCCATTTCGGAGTGATATTCTGTCATTTTAGAACAACTAACTCACGATAAAACAATATTCATATTTTATTACAACGAAATTATTCATTTTATGACATGTGACCAGATCGCTTATCAACGTACCTACCGGCAAACACGGTACGAAACCGCAGAATATATGACGTTAAATGAATTGAAAATGATGTGAATTATTTAGTTGGTTTCCATTTGCAGGCTCAGTTTAATGTTAATCAAGACAATAAGCTGATCGTATGATCGAATAAACGGAGTCTCTCTCTCTCTCTCTTTTAAAAGTCAAGAGAACAATTCGGTATGAGTGTGAAAAGGCAAATTGTAAACAAAAAACCGCTGAACATCTACAGAAAATGAAACCACATCTGTGTGCGTCACACAAAAATTCATCTTCGCCGTAAATTTATTCGGTTTGTTTTGATCGCTTTGTTTGCTTCCGATATATCTGAAATTTTGAATACATGCAGCAAGTGAAAATAGCGGCATGCGTCGTAAAATATTCTTATCACAAAGTATCACATAGATATAGCCATATAGAAAATGTGTATGGTTGTCTAAATGACGTCCGCTCGTTTTCGGTACATGATTCATTTTGATAATGTAAAAATACACCTACTAACAATGTTTATACAGGGCCGTAGCCAGGATTTTTGCCAGGAAAGGGTGGTTCCACTTTACCAAGTGATAGCTTGCCCCAAAAAAAAAAACTATTTCGAAAAAAAAAATTGGGGAGGCTCTTGGAAGTTTACGGAGTTATGGGGCAAAAAGGCCAAAAATCACGAAAAATTACGAAAAATCAAAGTGGTCCGATTCGATGAAAATTGGTACACGGGATAATTGAGAAAATATAAGAACTTTGGCACTAAAACTGGTCCAAAAAAACTAGTCCGAACTGGTCCAAAATGTCAAAATAAATGATTTTTCGTGATTTTTGGCCTTTTTGCCCCATAAACTTCCAAGAGCCTCCCCAAATTTTTCTTCGAAATAGTTGTTTTTTTGGGGCAAGCTATCACTTGGTAAAGTGGAACCACCATTTCCTGGCAAAAATCCTGGCTACGGCCCATTACGTCGAAAAGCGACAGATAAGCGCTCAATCCGATTCCGTTATGTTGTTTGGTTATCACGTTCATCACGTTGCCGGCGTTGCCAATATCTTCAATAGTGACAAAAAAAACAAGTCGAATAATCCGTCAATGTAGCTCTTTATGGAAGAGTGTTAGTTCTTGATTAAAGATTATAATTCATTTTGGAAACTTTTTTCGTTACCCAATTTGGTAACACAGTAAATTCTATTATCTCGATATTAGAAATAAATAATCGGAATGATTGGCGTGTGTAAAACTAGAGTTAACCTTCATAAGTTATCCAAATTATTTGTAGCGGGCTTCGCCTTAACACAATGTTAATGGCATTTGCTACATACAGCGAGCGGAAATATACATGAAATTTACCACATAAGATACACCATGGCATGCAAAGTTTTCGTCGTCGTGTAATAGCGTCTAACTACAATCCAAATGCCATCATTACATAAATATCCGAGTGTTTGTCGCACACAGTTTTCAACGAGCACATGCTATAGATATTTGTTTGGCTTCGCCTGCAACCATGTGTATACATCCTCAATTCGGATCGATTTCGTCGAGTTTTCCACTCTAACACACTAAATGTCATTACTAATTATACTTTCTTCGTGTTGTCCAAGTTAATTGTGGAATTTCGGACTACCATTCAGATGAATTATATATAGAGTCGAGGAAGAGTCGATCTAATTTTGGGAGGCAATCAAGAACGAATATAAAATCCACTTCTGCTTATGTAATCACAACGAAATGGATGTGTTGTATGTACATGTACATAAGGTGGCAATAACAATTTTCAGAAAGCAAACATTAACTTGGACGCTTTATCCAAACAAAGAAAATAACAATGAAATTTTAATGTCACATGATATAAAGTTAATTCGTTATTTTGCACAAAATTTCCATCACACGATGAAACAAAAAAAGGAATTAAAAATATTCATGCTAATTTCCCAAGCGATTAGTGCATGCACGGCATTTTTTTGCAATGTCGGTTGACAATTGATTTCACACTTGTCGTGCTTGAAAAGGGACGAAGCATTGCATGTGCTGCGCTGTTTGCTGCTCAAATGGAATCGATTAATAAAAGTTTGTTTATCAAATTAGTTCAATTTAAATTGAGAGGTTAAAGAAGACAGTATCGGAGAAAAACTTGTGTTCATTAATAGGGTAAAGAAGACATTATTTCACTTAAATTTGTTCAAAATGTCATCAATTCGGCTGTAAGCGTGGTCGCTGGAAATTACATTGCTTATGCATGATGTTTATAATGATATGTTTGAACGTTATCTGTCGTTTGAACTTTCAATAATAAATCAATGATTGAATCAATAAATGATTTGACAAACTGATTTCAGATTCTCTTTTTTTCTCTTCCCATTCACAGACGGCAATTTTCACGATATTCGTTGTGCCATGTAGACTGCTCATAATTTCGAGTTTATTGCTTGTAGCGTGGGCACTGGCAACCATTGGACTGTGGGGCCTTACAATGCAGGATCTCAACGTAAAACCAATATCCGGATGGCGAAGGTGAAATTTCTTTTTATCTCTTTTTTTCTCTTTTTCTTTTTCTGCTCTTATGCATTCACTTAGCAACATGTCGTTTAGTCGCCGAGTCAAAGTCAAGTACACCATTACATTCATGTCACGTAATTCCAAAATCAATGATGAAAAATGTGCAAATAAAACGAAGATTTCGTCAGATAGATGCTCTTTGCTCTCTATTGATCTTTGTTCGTTGAAAAGAACAACTCAACAACATAGCAACGTTTAAATGACTTTTCATTTCAAACACATAGAAAGTTTGAATGGCACCGATTATCAATAGAAAAAGTGTGAGTTTCACCATTCAACATGTGGAAGTTTCAAAAACTTTGTTAATTTCCAGCGCTTTTGTTTATTTCAACCGAGTTGATGAATTGAAAAAAGAATGTCTCTTTCTCTTGTTACAGATTTCATTATTGATTTTACGAAAGAAACGAGAGAGAAAAAAATTTAACTTCTTTACAAACAAATTTGTCGTATAGTCGAAACACATTGTCGACAGCAAAATTGGCATGAAGTCTGACGCTTGCATGTCGACGTACTTGCTTTTAAATTGTTAGATAGGTCGGCATTTCGGAGACCTAATTTATGACTTCCTCATGGTATTTGATTCACATCGTATGATACATACATTCTCTCTCTCTCTCTCGCGCTCGCTCGCTCGCTCGCTGTGTCTCTATTTGCATAAAGAACATTGCGAGAAAAAGTGAATGCGATTGTTATTACTATCATTCTGACTACAAAACCGACGACGCTCCATTTATTTCCATTAACTGCCTCGCGTTTTATGAATCAGACTTTGAGCGCAACAAGAATGGCAAAATGATGTTTGTTTCTTCTCTCCCCCTCTCTCTCTCTCCTTAGGATAATTCAAGTGTTGGCAGCACGGGCGATGCATGGCATGTACTTTTTTGGATCATTTCATCATGTGAAAATTACGGGTAGACAGGCAACATCAAAGGAGGCTCCGATTTTAGTGCTAGCACCTCATTCATCATTTTTTGATTCGATCTCAGTTGTACTGTTTGGGCCGCCGTCTGTGCTAGCCAAGGCTGAAACGGCATCGTTACCATTTTTGGGGAGTAAGAAATTTTCGAATGCCATCAATTTTGCATGAGTCAAGATATCTAAACATTCAATCAAATTGCAGAATTAATCAATTTCACACAGCCAATTTATGTATGGAGAGAAGATCCGAATTCGCGACAGAATACCATAAAAACGGTCATCGAACGTGCAAATTCGCATGACAACTGGCCACAGATTATCATTTTTCCAGAAGGAACTTGTACCAATCGAAGCTGTGTACTGTCATTTAAACCGGGCGCCTTTTATCCAGGCGTTCCAGTTCAACCAGTGTGCATTCGCTATCCAAACAAATTCGATACAGTCACATGGACTTGGGAAGGACCCGGAGCGTAAGTCTTTTTTATATCATTTTAACGCCAGGGAGAAGAAGACAGTGCTACCAAGCACATAACATTTTATCACAAAATCTAATCAATATTTTTTTAACCAATTTTTAGGCTAAAACTTTTGTGGTTGACCATGTGTTCAGTGTATACAAGATGTGAACTCGAGTTTTTGCCCGTTTATTTGCCAACGGAAGAGGAAAAAAATAATCCCAAAATCTATGCAGTGAACGTTCGAAATGTCATGGCAAAGTAAGCATTTGCGTTGTTGTACAGTGATTTATGTGATTTGATGAAAAATCGAAAAAAAGCTTAATGAAGGAAATCCACTGGAAATTTCGAATGAATCATGACGGAGAAAAAAAACAACTTGACGAAAATGCTATATATACATAAATCTTATATATATGCGTGACCACTATCGACCAAGTTCTTTTTTTATTCATGAATGATTGGTTTGTGTGATTTTCCATCAGACTTTTATATTTAGTTCAAAGTCAAACTAAGACGGAAAACTAGGACATTTGACACGAATACTGATTTAATATTAAACAAACTATGCAAACTTTGTGTTGATTTTCACATTCTGTTCCAACTCGCATAAATCGATGAAAAAAACATAAATTGTGAAACTTTGAGATGAGAAACACACAACTCACATATTTAATGTATGATACCATTTCAGAGCGTTAGGATTGCCAACATCAGATTTGACGTATGATGATTGTAAATTGATGATCCGTGCCAAACAAATGAATCTACCGCACTTTGATGACATTGTGGAAATTGAAAAGCTACGACGGAGTATCGGGTATGGCAAACCACATGGAAACTATTTACACAAAATGCATATTTGAACAATGTTTGATTACTGGTGATTTTCAGTTTGACTTTGAGAAATATCGAGGAACAAGTTGTGACATCAAATTTGGTGCATGAAACGAATTGTGTGATTTCGATGCCAGAGTTTGCGTTACGCTTGCAGATTTCCGTTGATGATCCGCTCACTGCTGAATTATTCCGAATCTTTGATACGGTTTGTGAATTTTTTTATTTAATGGCGCCTAGAGCCCACACATTGAAGCGCAGAGCTCAATATGCACTCTGAAGACCAATGCTAAACCAACCGTTCTTTGTTTATCTTGCAGGAAATGTGCGGAACGATTGATTTTCGTGAATACTTGCTTTGCGCACTGTATTTGATCAAGCAAAGTTTGCCAACCATGGGTCTCATTCAAATCGTATCAAAAATGTATGACAATTGTGGCAAAGGATTCAACAGAACTACACTTTACAGCCTGTTGAGACACATGACTGCCGCCAGCATAGATGAATGTGTGGACATTTTCGCAGAAATTGATTGTGATCAAGTCGGTTTTATTTCATTAGGTAAGGGATTTCATTGTAAATACTGTTCAACTCACTTTTGTAAAGGATCGTTTTCCTAGGCGGCCGATTTGGCCGCCAATTCAAGAAGACCATTTGGAATTTTGGCTATAACTTTAGTAGTGGTTCAAAACAACGGATTTTAACAAAATTCATATATTTTTGTTGATGTAATCTTCCTCTTTCTAAAAATGTATATTTTTTTACGCAATGTGATCCCATCTGGGGCACCACAGTCAAAGTTATTGGAAGTCTTCATTCAAACACATTTTTTTAAAATTTCGACCTGAAAATTGTTCGAAATGTACCCAAAACAATTTTCAGATCGAAATTCAAGAAAAAAAAATTGTTTGTTGACACCTTCAGCTATGGCTTTGACTTAAATCTAATCAAAATAATAATTTTTTGCTCCGATTATAATTGGATCTGAATTGTTTATAGTTAAGGCTAACAAAAATACTTATAATGTGTTTTCTTTCATTTCAGAAAAACTGCAAGAGTATTTCCAGAGCAAGCCCGAACTTGCGCATTTATTTGAGATTCCACAAACGGCTAAGAAAACCACCCGTTCCTCAACGACAACAGCAGCAAAACCAAAGAGTCAATAGATTATTTCAAACTATTTATTTATTTGTATTTTCTAAACCATGCATATTCCAGGATTTTAATCAACCATTCAGTTTTGACTGTGTTAAAAAAAGCAAAAAAGCATATACTTGTTTCATGTTGTCAAATTCCAATGAATTTAAAGAAATGAATTCACATATTCAGTAAATTGTAAAAAAAAAACCAAAAAAAACCTTAGGCTATAGTGTATGTAGTCAAGTTTTTCCCAATTCAAGAACAAACCAATTTTTAAATCAATTTTACGATAAAAGAAATTTTTTGTAAAAAGTTTGTATTTTTCAAAAGTAACAACAACTAATCACAACATCACGTATACACATACACACACATTTTATGTGGAAAGAAATTGTATAATATATAAAATATTTCAACACTATTATTTCCATAAGGTAGAAGCAAATGCAAACAAGAATAAATCAAATTATTTCGATTCTCAAGTTTAAAAAACAAACAAAAAACAAAGTGCATGGCTCTTAATTTAAATTCAATTTGGTCAATGTATTTTTTGAACCCAATATGAATACTATTTAGACTCCTAACAGCAACTAACTTATTTATGAAAATTATAATCACTTCATGTACTCTAGCAAATTAAAAAGGAAACAAGTTGTAATCGATACATACGTGGTTCACAGCAGTCTTTGAGTAAATGAAAAAAAAAACACCTAACGATTGAAACTCATGCAACGGAAGTTGCCAGCTTTCTAGAGAAAATAGTTTAGAGAAAACAAAATGAACCAAGTGCAAAAGGTGTATGATGCATTTTGTAAGGGGAAATAAAGTAAACAAATTTGTGACAAGATAAATGTGTCGGTCAACGATTGTTTAATTATTCAAACGGATGTTATTAACTAGATTATTCATGAGGTCGTGAATCGGAGATAGGGTTTGGAATATCGAAAAGAAAGAATACACTTGGACGATACAAAGCTATGGCGTTTGGGTCGTGTTTGACGCTTATGCATAAGCTTTAAAGTCCGAAAATAGACGGAGATGCCGCACGCAAATCAAACACGAAAATAGAGTTCGACTTATTTATTATTCATCACAAGCAACGGCAGCTCTCGATAATATTAACGCTTAAATGGTCATTTTATGTCATGTGACAAATAACAAAAATGACGGACTTCCAAGGAAGTTATATTCGGATGTTTTCTCAAGTATTTTCATTCATTCCGTGCACGCCGTGTGTTCTCTTCAATTCGAAACGGTGAGAAATCATGCGAGGATTATACAATCAATAACAGAAATTCTCCGAAAAAGCAGTATGTGCTCCGCAAGTGGAAATACACAGCGTCGTAAACCATTCGACAATATCAACATATTAAAATAAACAAAATGCTACGTAGTTTGATCTGTCATGGTAACACGCTTCTGCTCGCGTCGGAAACTTTTTCAATATTTTCCTATCATTGTTTCCCATTGAAATATTGACGGCGATGTGATGTATGCATATATGAAAGAAAAAAGTGTTGGCTTCAAACAGCGAAGACGATGGAAAATAGCATAATATATGTGTGAATCCCCAGATCTTTTAAACTTGTTTGTTGTGACACTATTACAAATGTGTGGAAAAAAAGAGCAGCATCGTTGCTTCGATACAAAGAGAGAGCAGCCTCCGTTTTTTTTTCTCTTCGAGCAAAATTGAAGTGAGCGGTCGTTGCGTATATTGTAAGCCTATTAAAACGAAGCATATACAACTGGAGTTGAGAGTGACTTATGGTTGTTTTCATCTTTCATCGCTTATTTTCCCGAAATTTTTCGGTGCTGGCCGTGTGAGTGTTCGTTCATTCGCTCTGTGTATGCGTGTTGAAAGTCAATATTTTGTTTGTATTGGTGGAAGTAATGGCGAGCTTCTTTTCAAACCTCGGCACAACTGTGTAGCACCCCTACTGATAGCACGATAACAAAGCTGCATCAAGAGCCCAGAGAAAATTTTCCATTCCCCTCATTTTCGGATTAATCACCCTTGTTATACTGCCATCTGGTGGTGAAGTTGTTCAATTGGATGGACTCAGTTTAAGCTCGTCGAAGCATTATTTTGCTTTAGCTCCAATTACAGATATTGACACAAATTTAGACATAGATATTTTGCCATAGTCCTTATTTTAGCTATAACCTTAAGCAATTGATAAAGCATACACTTGAATTTAACGCAAAAACTAAACCAATGGCAAAGTTTACATTCAGACCTTGAGTTTATATTTTTCACTTAATTTTACGACTATTTTCTCATAAGCAACTTATGCGGAAGATGCAGCTAAAAGATGAACTCACACACCGAATGCATTGCATCGGTTTAGAAAGTGTTCAAGAGCCAATACAAGTGATAAATAATTAATTTGAATGATACACACTTGGGAGTTTGGCCAAAATCAACAGATGATAAGTAATTCAAATGTCAAGTGAGAATCAATATTGAGTTTATTAGTTGCTTTGTGGAAGGAAAAAGTCATAAATCAGATTGATTATTAGCGCTCTCACTCATTTGGGATCTGCATTGCAGAGTGATTTATAGCATATATACATATGAACATGAACACACAAACAATGTAATATGCATGGAAAAATTGCTTCTGGCCCTCCAAAAAAGAGGTATGTCATGCAGTTTAATTGATTGGCAGACCAAGCGTGAACATGCAAACGCGGATACACATGAATCGCAAACATTTGTGTTTGCTATCCAAATTGAATCGGAACGATGTTTCGTCTGAAATGCAAATTATTGGCATATTTGAAATTCAGAATATAAATAGACATTTCGCCTACCTCTTTCCACCCGTTGGTCATCTATGGGAAAAAAATCAATTCTGAATAGCGAAGATTTGTTCTTTGCACGTATATAGCATGGTACGGATTTGTTTGCAAAATGGATACGATACGAAAACGTGTCAATTCATGAACAAACAGTCCTTGAAACGTTCAAATCGATTAACATTTTCATTTGGTTCGTGCTTGATGCCACCTCCACTTGGTTTTCTCTTTTTTTTGCAGAAAAAAGGCAACAATTAAACGAAGCCCGATAATAAATGGACTCATATCCTTTGTTAAGCATTTTTATTTATAGCTTTTAATTTTGCGCTCATGGAAACAAGGAAATCGCCATTAATTTTCTGTCGATTGAATTGTTCATTCGAAGCAAATGAATAATTGGCGCAAGCGTTGAAGAAAACTCGTCTTATTAAAATTGATGACGTTCAACTCAACTTTACAAATCATCTATCAAGGACAAGCGCGTTGTTGACATTTGAACAACTGAAATTTACTCATCCAGAACGTGTCACTTCTCTTCAATCAACGAACAAGCAGAAAAAGTTTACCACAAAAATGAACCAAAATCGTCGCGTAATTGTTTCGTTTTTCCTATTTGAATTGCTAGAAAAGTATTTTAAATTTAAATATATTCTTCATTGTTCCGTACATGCACTTATTGGCCTTTATTTACTTTTGCATTGAAGAAGAGTTCCGTAGCGAATCGATTATTAAAAATTTATGTGGCACATTTTATATTCGCTAAGAGCCCTTGATGGCCATTGCAGGCACTTTGGCCTGGCCTTAAGGGAAAAATTGAATCGTCACGCCAATAAAACAGCACCGTTTTGAAGTAGCTCATCCGAGATGCCTGTGCGTGTGCATTCCATCCTTTGCTCGTTTACTCGCCCGTTCGTTCGTTCGTTCGTTCGTTCGTCTTGGTGAATGGCGAACTTCAGTCGAGCGCTGTTATGGCATCGTGAATATTCGTTAAGCATTCACATGAAATAAGCAATCAATTCGTTCGAATTGGGATAATTCAAATTCCGCGGCGTATTTTTTTCGTTCATTCGTTCGTTCGTTTGTTGAAAAGTTTACTTTGCACTTGTTTGGAAATGTCTTATTCAAAAGCGGCAAAAGCCCACTTCAATACCACCATTCGAATTGTTTGTCAGAGAAAACTTTAAAATTTAATTGAATTTTGATCTAGGTTTTTCTTTCCGCCTGTGAACCGAACATTTTTACTCAATAATGAATGAATCGATTTGGTATAATCTTTGTGCTGGAGATAACTTACGTATCTTCGCATGGTTCACTTAACAGCATATGTTTTCACCATGTATCAAAAGTGAACTGAAGCAGAAGCAGAAGCAGAAGTTGTAGCAAAGAAAAAAAGTCTGATTATGTTTATAATATAATGCAATTAAGTGGCGCCTTTTGTCCCTTATTGAAGTGTAACGTAAACATACGCATCCACCCAAAATGAATGTTTCAATTCAAAACTTCGGCTCAATATCCTCTTATCAAATTTCCACGCAGCCAACGATTGATTGAGATAGTGCACGTTTCGGTATATATATCGAACGAAATCACTTAATTATTCTGAAAATGAATGGTGGCTTCAGCTTAAAGAAGATATTTTCATTTGAAGCCATGCCATTGAAGATTGAATCTCATCAATTGGTATATTTGCGTATATTAAATATTGATTTAGGTAACGATTTCCCTTGAATATTCCGTAAATGCGAAAAGCGGATACAGGGCAGCAAGAGAAAAAAAAATACGAAATTGAGCAATCAAAAGCATCTCCACATCTCATGAGAAGGTCACATACTTCCGAGTTTGTGGATTTTCCAAAGTTCATCATAAAATTATTAAACTTCATTTAAATGATGCGGAACGGTTTGATTACCAGCAACCGTCGTCGTGTTATACACGACAAGGGGTCATTTGAAAGAGATAGAGCTTTATCAAATTCGCAGACGACGAACAATATTTGGGTTATGAAAGGACGTGACTGAAATAGAAGTGCAACGAATTCATCATGATGCATGCTAGAGCTATTCGTGTGAATATATTTTGGCACTATGGTTGCGCGGTGAATTTATTCATAAGTATCATTGCGTTTGTCACATCGGTCCATCTACGGATTGCTCTTGTCGTACACAGTTTGGCGGTAAACATTGGCAAACATGTAATTCCATCCCAAAAAACATCTATTGAAAGCAATAATATACGAAGAACAGTAATAAGACACAGGGAGCAAGAGAGAGAGAGAGAGAGAGAGAGAGAGAGAGAGAGAGTGAGGGCAGGACGTTATAACATGAATAATAAATGTATGCGACAATAAATATGGATAACAGTTACGGGCGGGATCGGTGATAAAAGCGCCTGTTTATTCACTTGTTTTCGCATAAAACGAGGAATAAAATGGCTTTTTGTTTTAATAAACATGGGAAAAATGAGTCGGGCTTTCGAATGTATGATTCTCTCACACAAAACTAAAAGTCTTTTCATTCCGGTTTTTGCTCATCAGCAGCAACAGCTGGGAAATTTGTGATACAGGCCACAATCGAATGTGTTCAAAACAAATTCCCGGGGAAAACGAAACATGACATAATGTGGTACATAAAAAAAGGTTGAAAACGGAACGTGTTCGTCGGAAATGCCATCGGAGTTGGATATTTGTTGAGTTTGTGTCTGGCCACAATGAATTCTTCATTTTGAATTTTAATGAAAGGAAAATATTTCTTAAGCATTCTTTTCACATTTAACGCATTATTATTTTCTCTTCGCCGTGATGCTGATGCAAACGTACCATACTTGGATTGGAATTGGTTGACTTGTGCTATTCTCCAAAGGATGAGTACGCTTCAGAATCCATTTTTATTACAGCCGTAGTAATAACACGAAATGCCAAAGCGAAAATTACTTTTGGTTAATAATTCCAGCTTTATCTTCAATATTTTGGAGTCAATCTCTCGCAGTCTCTTTCGTTCAGTCAATGGGATAGGAGAGACAGAAAGACGAGGAGCAAAAACTAAGTTTCAAAACG